CCTATTTAAATATATTTACACATGGCTTGTGTATATCGTATATATATCCATATATATTATTCATACCTTCGGTGTATTGGACGCAAGCATATTTTGACATCAAATTTTGGGGTAAAAAAGTGCGGACTTATACACCGAAAAATACGGTACATTGTCCCCTATTATCCACGATGGACAGTGGTAGTACAAAATTAATCTGACACTTACCGCTCATCCGTCGTCCAACTATTTGACCCCCTAAAAATACGGTTAATTCCTGACATTGGCGTAACTACAAAAGATGCCCCCCCCCATTAAAAGTAATTAGACCCTCTACATTTATTTATCTTTAATTGTAGTTGCAATTCGGGAAATTTTGGCTCGGACTCCCCCGCAACTGCTGTAGTTGCGGAGGGATACTTACGCATTGATTCCTGAGACCTTTCCTTCGTGGCACGGCTGTTTTTAATCCGTGGTCTGTACCGAACTATTTCTTTATTTATAAGTCGGGGGTCTTATGACGCTATGGAGATGGCCGCTTTGTATATTTTTGGGGGTGTGTATTTACTTTTTCTAGGCCGCTGTGTTTGTATAAACACATGAACTTTGAGTTTTAGCTTAAATATCTTAAACGTGCATCAGTACTCATTAACAGTAGAGATTTTGTTGCAAGCATTATCGTTCGTTCTGCCTCTTCCCAAGAAGACAAATGACGTGAAACTTTTAAATTTATTATATTTAGAGGCTGAGACAGCGGTAACTTTACGGATCTACAAAGATAAAATCCGGGGTTCCATTCCCCACGATGTACACAGCAGATAATCCAATGTGGCTTGCCTCTAAAACAAACAAACACGTAATTTGTAGGTCGCGAGTTCGAATCTCTTCACCGAATATACTCGCCTTTTCAGCCGTGGGGGCGTTATAACGTTACAATCAAACCCACTTTTCATTGGTAAAAGATTAGCCAAGAGTTGTCGGTGGGTAGTGTTGATTAACCGATTTCCCTCTAGAAAATCATTTTGAAATTAAGAACGGCTAACATAGATAGCCTTCGAGTAGATTTGCGCGAAATTCAACAAACAAATAGTCTTTTATTTAATTAAACAGCAAAGGAAGGAAAAAGAGGTATTAGAGAACCTGACTCTCACAGATCCCGATACAGACAGACGACGTTTGAACTGGATGCTCATACTTCATAACAAAAACAACAACAACAAAAAAAACATCTGGTCACTATTACGTTTAACTTTACCTCTGACAACTTACCGAACATTTAGTCAATAGACGACCTCACACGACCAGTGTTTGATGACTGGTTTCCTAACTTTTTCCCGTTTTACCAAAGCTAACAGAGGTAATTGATGAGATGATAGAAAGGAAAATGTCAGGACTGGGAGGAATACGGTGGAATTTTACAGAAAGGACTGTTGACAGTAACACTGTGCATGAAAACTTAGGTGGACTTAGAGGATACATGTAAAAATTTCAAAATGAATTTGTTTTGGAAAACAGAAACAATTAACGAATTATATGCCGATTCCGTGCTTGTTTCTCCGCTGACATTTTCCATAACAAATTACTAAAACAGCGTTTCTCAAACTGTGCTTCGCAGACTCCCAGGGGATTCGCGAGTCATGTTCGAAATTTCATTAAAGTGTTTTTAAAGATGTGATTTATATAATAAAAATATATATTTTTCATAAAAATAATAAATCGAATTTTGGAATATAACTTTTCATGTACACGGAAACTCCCCCCCCCCCAACAAAATCATCTATAGGTTTGGGGGCCGAGAAAAAAATTCTAAGGGGTTATCGGGTTACAAAAGTTAGAAGACTGCCGCACTAAAACGTAATAGGGGTGATAGGGTTGAGTGCTATAATTATTCATTTTAAAAACCCTACTATAGCAAACATAAAAAAAAAACACAGACGGATTAGCTGCTGTTCAGGTCAAAGACAGTTAAGGTAATAATGAACGCCCTATTGTTACCTCTAAGAAAAGAAAAAAAATATATCTGTCTAAACGTAAGCAGGGTAAGGAAAGAAGTATGCGATACCACAATGGTTTGAATTTCACGCAAAGCTACACGAGGGCTATCTACTTTAGCCGTCCCTAATTTTACAGTGAAAGACAAGAGGGAAGGCAGCTAGTCATCACCACCCACCGCCAATTCTTGGGTTAATCTTTTACCAACGAACAGTGGGATTGACCGTCACATTATAACGCCCCCTACGGCTGAAAGGGCGAGCATGGTTGTTGGGATGGGGATTCGAATCCGCAACCCTCACTCAGATTGCGAGTCGAGCGCCCTAACCACCTGGCCATGCCAGGCCTCACACATTAATAATTCAAGATGGAGATCAGTTTACACACAGTGATTATTTGATAGGTGCTCATCTGGTTAAAACTGGATCATTTCAAAATTATCTTCATAGTTTTCCTGGTCGCGAATTGGATGTAACCGTAAGCTATTACACAATAATCAACCATTATTTAATCTTAATTTCCCATCTGCCATACAGGTATCAAAGCTTTTATTTTTATTCTTTTTAAAGAATAGGATATTACTTAAGTCGCACAATCCATACAGAAAATCTCACGATTATAGTTTAAATGACTATATAAACGTTAAGGGTACAACAACAAAAGTTATATAATTTTTATAACTACATGCAAGGGGTTATTATTTACAACCTATATTTCAAGCATCTAAAACATTAGATCAACATAATGAAGAAACTTTCAACAATTATCACTTTTCTGAATGTAGTTTTTAGTGTATTTTAAGGAACTCTTACTACGCATGTGCTAGAGTAGCCCTTTAGCCGGCCGAAGTGATGGAGCTTTCACCTGTCATACAAGAGATCCTGGGTTCGAGTTCAACAGTTAGGAAAGTTGTATTTGTACATAGTATGTGTTACACGTGACGCCTCAACACACACCCTTATATATATAAGAAGATAAGGAACTTAAAAACGATTATCATCTGTTCTTTTTTGTTTAAATATATTGAGTCATTTTAACAAACCGCCAACTTCGTTCAGTAGATTTTTCAATAATATTTTGGAAGACTATTTTATAGATATGGAGAAATAATAAAAATATTCCAATTCAATTGATGTACGTTATTTATACTTTTTAAATTTCTGGAGATAATTTTCTGACCTTCCATTGCACTATCGTGACTTGTGTTATTCTTATAATGCTCTAATATGTGTTTTTATTAGTTTTTAATGACAGCTCACGGAATAGTTACAAAAAGAACACGACTTTTTATCGTCCAGAAGTTACATGTTAAATAACAATCAAGTTCAAAGAATACATGCGAATTTCAAAGCGGTTTATGAAAAACCAGCTAAATAAGAATGAGTCTATAGTTCATACTGTTTTCAAACTACATGTTACAAGGCGAAAAAAAACAAATACAGGCAAACTGAGAAATCATCCACCAGCGAAATTAATCGTAAGCATAACCTTTGTTTTTATCTATGCATAAAACGCTTACATAAAAACGAATTTTACACGTTACCTTTGAGTTTGAGTTTTTTTTGCTTCTAAGATTCAGAATTTTCGGGCACAATTTATCCAGGGAGAACTTGACAAATTTCATTGCACTTGCCATACTGGTTAGGGTTAGTGAAACTCCAATAAATCTGTAATTGTTATTTTATTTAAGATATCAGTAAATTTAATGAACAAGTAATTACACACTTAGGCCTAATGACCTCCATTTGAATAAAATTAAAACTACTGAACATCCACCGCTACTACAGTGGAAGTGTTGCTATAAAATCTGTTAGTAAAGAAGCACAATGATGAACCTGCAAATTATTACAAATAAATGTATAAACTTATATATTTTGCTGCGCGAGACTGACGTCATGCACCTTGCGTGTTTTGTATTGGTTAAGCCTCGCATTTCAATTTTATGTTCTACAGAGGGATGTCTTTAACGCGTTTGCACAACGCTATTGATTTCACCAAAGTTCTATTATAATTATTAATAAGAAAGTGTTCTGGAAATTGTACTTAGTCGATTGAGAGAGCCTAAAATATTTCCACGAACAGAGAGTTATTATATGTTTATTGATAGTTAAATTTTCACGCATTTTTTAAAAATCATATTGAAAAGAAAGGTGAAATTTGCAAGTCATTGTCGTTATTTTGATTAGCAGGGCCTAATAAATCAACACTCCAGAGAGAAGGTACTGATCCAGTCTGGTTTCCCTACCATAAATGGTTTCCCTTCCTCTCCCCATGTGGGTCAGCGGTAAGCGCTAGCAGCCCCACAATGGTACAGTGGTATGTCTGGGAACTTACAGCGCTATAAACCGGGTTTCGATAGCCGTGGTGGGCAGAGCACAGATAACCCTTTGTGTAGTTTTGTGCTTAACTTCAAACAAACAAACAAAGCGCTAGCAAAATTCATCAAAACAGCCAACGTCTTTCAGATATCACCCAGCTAATTGTGACATATATAAGGACCTTAGTAGCTAGCGAAAATCGTAAACATAGCTAATATCTGTCTTAGATATCACCCTGCTAATTTTCCTTATATAAGGAGCTTAATAACTAACAAAATTCATCAAACAGCCAACGTTTTTCAGATATCACCCAGCTAATTGTGCCACATATATATATATATATAAAGACCTTAGTAGCTAGCGAAAATCGTAAATATAGCTAATATTTCTCTTACATATCACCCTGCTAATTTTCCTTACATAAGGAGCTTAATAGCTAGCGAAATTCGACAATACAGGCGACATCTTTCTCGCAATTACAATCTTTGAGACTCAGTAATATTTTCTTTTTAAGTTCGTCATCTGTCTTAACTTCTAATTATTAGAATTTATACTAGAGTTCTATTTTCTTCTTTCTTTAATATTTCAGTCATCCTGTCTACAGAATTAGTTATTTAACTGGTGCTTCAAAGATTTTAACAGTGAAATACGATCGTTAAAATCTTCCCCATGAATTTCTCACGTTTTCCACTTTAATTTTGCCTCGTGTGTGAGTTTACAGGTAGTATAATATTTCCAGATGTTCTATTTTGTAACAAGGTGGTAAGTTGCCGCCAACAATGTTGTAGGCCTAGGAGTGAATCGATGGATCCTGAAAAATAAAACGTTTGTGTGTGTGTGTATGTGAAGGGACAACCTTGAATCTCCAAATAGTCCCTTGTTGTCCCTCTGTTATGCTAATAAACCGTATGTATATCCTCTATATAAAAAACAGTCCTATTGTATTGAATTTCCGAGTTTCTACAGTTTTTCCTAAGCAGTAAAAATCTTAATTACACTTTACTGTACTTTCTTTTGACCGCTTGCCAGCGTACACAAGGTGCAAACGTATTAGTGAATCGGTGACGTTTTGTTTGTTGTTATATTGTTTGTTTATCCACACGAATTACGGTGGTACGTTAACATCGAACAATAGTGGCCGAAATTTTAACAAAATACTACTATAACGACTACAGTTACTACGTTATTAAAAGTAATCTTATCACAGTTAGTGTACGGTTATGTCCTTGACTTTATGTACGTTAAAGTTCGTGCCGAATTTATCCCGTCTAACTTTTAGGATGTATTTTCATGAAATTTCAATGTGATTTATGGAAAACCAGGTTTTGAAAATTGGTAAAACGTCGCAAAATATTTTAATTTCCATTAGAAAGTTAAGATGGCTGCGAATTATTACTTTTTCTGGACTTGTCAAATGTCCGGGAGTATATTTACATCGCCGCTGTTGAATAACCATGATATGTTTTTTGAAATAAACTTTTTTTTTTTTCTGGACTTGTCCAATGTCAGGGAGTAGATTTACATCGTGGCTGTTGAATAACCATGATATGTTTTTTTTCAAATAATATTTTTTTTTTGGACTTATCAAATGTCCGGGAGTAGATTTACATCGCGGTTGTTGAATAACCATGACTTGTTTTTTTTTCAAATAAACTTTTTTTTCTCCATATTTTATATCTAAGACTACGGAAAGAGATAGAAAAATTAATAGCTTGTCGCACATAAAAGTTTAATAGATATATCCAACGAAAATTCTGTTGCAATTAGGTCTTTTTAAATAATTAAATAACACACACATGTAAAACAGCAATATCCTGAGCTTGCAAGGACTTCTTTGTCGTAATGTCTTTATAGTCTGTGCGATAATTATGAGCTAAAAATGAATAAAAGGCGATTTCACGGCCCATGTAATGAACGGCAAGCGATCAGGACATGTGTAGAGTACTTTGGTTTTGTTTATATATTTTTCAAAGTTAAATCCTAGAAAACCACATTTTATTAGTCAGGGTCTGGTGTATTTACAGAGTTATAAAATTTAATTATAAACAGTTGGTTGAAAAGTTGACTGAATTTTCTTAGGAGTTTAGAGCGATTGAATTCATTTTGTATTTTTTGATTAAAGAAATAATTGCATCATGTAATATAGGTATTTCACATGTATAGTAGATATAATGCTTAGCTATTTACTTGTAGCGTTTATGTATCTATATAAATATAATACTAGTGTCTGCTGTCTGTCCATGTAACTACTTCGCAGGGTGTAGATGGATCTTCACCAAAATAGGTATGGAGGTTCATTAGGTCCATGCGGGGTTACATAAAAAAATTTCAGTTTTGCATTTTGTGGTTTTTATGTGCGTTTTTTAACATTACTTCGCCCCCTGTAGATGGATCTTCAATTTAGTATGGAGATTCACTGGTCCATGAAGAGATAACATACATATTTTCAGTTTTGTGGGCGTTTTTATAATTACATCTAAGGGAAGCAACTTTTCATGTTCTAAGATAACCTTTCATTAATCATAAATTTATATAACTTTCGTCCAGGGGACGGGTACTTCAGCTACTTGTTAAATATTTATCAAGTTTCAAACAGTTTTGAAATAAAGTTAGAAAAAAACGACCTTTAATAAATAGTACAAGCCCTGATGAAACCGCAATAGCGAATCGTTAGCAGAAATAAAGAGTTTTTTTTTATTATCTTGAGATTAAAAGTCGTTTTTCTAACTCGATTGCCAAAATATCTAAATCCCTACAGTATGCACTGCAAATTCTGTAAAAAAAGTTTCATTGTTAACTTATTGTTGAAAATGTATTTAGTGTCAAACCTTATTGTTGAAAATGTATTTAGTGTCAAACCTTATTGTTGAAAATGTATTTAGTGTCAAACCTTATTGTTGAAAATGTATTTAGTGTCAAACCTTATTGTTGAAAATGAATTTAGTGTCAACAGTTTTTCAAAGTTACCATTTTCAAACTGTTTATAGTTCCCCAGTTACTTTTTTTACAATGTGAAACTACATGAAAATTAAAGATTTGCACTTTAGTGAAATAATGTTTATCGTAAGCTTATTGAGGAAAAAAAGAGACATCTAGTGGGTTATTTATTATATTTAAAATAATAAGTTTTAGATAACCAAACAATAACATAAACGTTCTAGTAATTGTGATGACTCAAATTTATTCTGTATTAAGCGGTAAGTCTGTCAGCTTATAACGTTAAAAATTGGTTTTTAATACTCGTGGTGTGTAGAGCCCATTTTGAAACTTTGCGCTTAACAACAAAATAATCAGACAAATATTGTATTAAAAAAACCTGCAGATGCTCGTCTTTGAACTAATCTTTAAACGTCGTAAACACTTCGTATTTAATAAAAATGCTGTTGTGTTTGTAAGACAAGTAGAAAATATATGTGAACAAATTGGTACATCTAATTGTTCGATACACATTATATATTTGGACAGCTTTCTCTTCAAAGGTAAAGCATCGTATGACTTTTACAAAACTTTAAGCAGCTCCTGCCATCTAGTGCCTAACTATTTAAGCAAGATGAAAATTAAATAAAATATGTTTTATATAATTACCGGTAGATGGGTAAATTGTTTGTTTGTTGGATTTCGTGCACAGCCATTCGAGAACTATCTGCACCAGCCTTTCCTAACTGTGAAGTGATAGACTAGAGGAAAGGCAACTGGTAAATATGCCCACCGCCAACCCTTGGGCTATTCTTGGCAGACAGAATAGTGGGATTTGATTGTTACTCTCACAAAAAAAAAAAAAAAAAAAAAAAACAGAGCACGATTTTTCTTTTCGGCG